GATAGGCGGAGAACCCGGCAGCCGTTTCACCCTGAAAATCCACATGCCATCGACTATGTTCGCCCCAGGAGGGGGAACTGCATCGACGTAGGTGCCTGTGGACTTCCATGATGCCATCTCTATGTCCATGGCTGTCTGCCATTGAGAGGAGTAGGGACCCGTAATCGCCTCTGCGTAAGAGCGCTGGGTCGAGATATCTGGTGCATCCGGGTCTGCCTCAGGTGCAAGGAGCATGGCCACGAGATGAGGTACTGCAGCTGCAAGACACTCAAAGTCCTCCTGCCTGTCCTCAAGGACGTCCGTGCCAAGAGCTAACTCACCCCTAACAGGCGGAGGACAGTCAGACTCAGACTCAGCAACAAGACTAGTGGCGTAGTCAAGACGACAAGCGGCAGCAAAGTCAACAAGCTCAGCAACTAGGGCAGACGCATCAGCGGAATCAAACGAAGGGTCAGTAACAACAGTGGCAAGAAGACGAGGGACCGTAGGACTGGCAGCACGAGCTAAGTCAGACCCAGGGTCAGGAACGTCAGGAAGAGAGGACGCAGGAGGAGACGGCAGGGGAACTTGCAGTGGAACAGAGGAAGGACGAAGTGCCATATCGTGAGTGCCGGGGACAGGAGGAGGACGCGGACGAGGAACATGACGACCAGTGCGAACAGCGCGAACAGGTGAGGCAGGACGAGACTCAGGCTCACAACGCTCTGTAAAAGAGTCTGTCTGCTTAGCGTAGGGAGAAGGAGCAGGCAGTGGGGAGTCTGGCAATTACTGTGGCTGCGACTGGTGAGGCGGTGGACACAGTAAGCTAGGAGGAAGGCCTGTAGAAGACGAGAGACTAAGAACTAGGCGAAGGACCGAGTCAGGTGGCAGTAGAGACGACGGCGGCAGCGGAACAAAAAATGGGTGCCGCTGCACAGTGCCTCCAGCACCACGACGGCCAGCTCTAGCACCCCCAGCGCCAGCACCTCCAGCTCCAGCGCCTCCAGCGCCAGTGCCTCCAGCTCCAGCGCCTCCAGTGCCAGGGTCCGCAACTCCAGCCCTTCTAGCTCCAGCGCCTCCAGCTCCAGAGTCTCCAGCTCTAGTGCCTCCAGCTCCAGCGTCTCCAGCGCCAGTGCCTCCGCCTCCAGCGCCAGGGTCTCCAGCTCCAGCTCCTCCAGCTCCAGCACCTCCAGCACTAATGCCTCCAGCTCCAGGGTCTCCAGCTCCAGCGCCTCCGACACCACCAGCTCTGGCAGCTCTAGTACCTCTAGTACGAGCACCTCCAGGACCGGCAGCTCCAGCACCTCCAGTACCTCCAGCTCCAGCAGTAACTCCAGCACCTCCAAGACCAGTACCTCCAGTACCTCCAGCTCCAGTGCCTCCAGCGGCACAGCCTCCAGCTCCTGCAGCGCCACTCCTAAGGCGTGTGCGCTGAGCAAACCACTCGCGCAGCTACTGCGGTGAGAGAGGCTCCCGCCGGGGAGACTGTCGAGGCGAGGCACCCGCAGGACCTCCGGCAGATGCAGTACCCCTAGGCTCAGCACCCCCAGACTCCGCACCACCAGACTAAGTACCCCCAGGCTCCGCACCCGCAGGCACAGTACCCCCAGGCTCAGCACCCCCAGACTCAGCACCCCCAGACTCCGCACCCTCAGACTCAGCACCCCCAGGCTCCACACCCTCAGGCTCCGCACCCTCAGGCTCAGCACCCCCAGGCTCCGCACTCGTAGGCTCAGCACCCCCAGACGCAGCACCCCCAGACGCAGCACCTCTTGCAGCACCTGAGTCTACAGCGACCTCGACACGCACAGGCCCGGGGAGTGGGTCTATGTGAGACACACCTGAGGGAGCAGGACCCTGAGGGGGGAGGGGGTCTACCGGAGGGGGACCTGGAGCAAGAAAGAGCGGCGGGGGGGGGGAGAGGGGCAGTGCGGTAGGGGAAGAGACAGTAAAAGGGAACCGACTCGTCAAACGTGACGTCCTGAGAGGGGAGGACACGGCGCGAGGTGGGGTGGTAAAACTGCCAGCCATGCGCGTCAGGGGGAAAGCCAAGAAAAGCGCAGGGAATAGCGTGGGCGGAGAGCTTGTCCGCGGAAGTATCGCGGACAAAGGCACGAGAGCCCCAGACCTGGAACATTGACGCATCGCCAATCTTCCCCGTCCAAAGCAGTGTAGGCGAGGTCTCCGGCAAGGAGACACGGGGCCAGAGGTTGAGCTAATGCGCAGTGTACCGGACCGCAAACGGCCACAGAAAATGGGGAGCAGCCGCATGGATCATGGAGGTACGAGCGACCTCCATGACTAAGCCAATACGGCGCTCAGCAACCCCATTTTTCTGCAGGGAGGCCGGAAGCCTGGACGTCTAGAGGATGCCCTCCCCACGACAAAAGTCCCGCAAGAGGTCGGAGGAGAACTCACCACCTCTGTCAGAGTGCAAACGCAGGATAGAAAGGTCCTCGCGGAACTGCTCACGGAGCTGGAGACGGACTGCGCGGTTCCAAGGGATCAAGACATCAGGGACCTCACCCTTGCTGCGCAAGGGGAAGACCGTGGTGTAACGCGTGTAGTCGTCAACAACCAGCAGGAAGTAGCGCTCGCGGTCCTGTCCACTGATGCGGGCTGGGCCCCACACGTCAAGGTCGAGAGTCTGCAGGGGAGCAACCGTCGGGGGAAACGAGGAGGAGTGAGGAGCGGCGCGCTGCCGTCCCTCGACGCAGGGAAGGCAGGGCGGGGCAGGTGAGGGCGGGAGGGGCGGCAGAGACCTGGGAAGATCAGAAACAAGGAGGTGGGAGTGCATGCCACGAAGGCGTGGCAGGGAGGGGTGACCAAGGCGGTGGTCCCAAAGGAGAGTCAGGGAGGTGCTTCTTGAGCAGTTCGACAGTGAGGTCTGTGGGGTCAAGAGCGAGAAAGTGGTCCCTGACTGCGCAAAGAGAGGCAGGGAGGCGGGTGACTATGAAGTAGAGAGTGATGTACATCGGGGGGGGGGGGTTCCTGTTTAGGAACTCAGCTGGGAGGGCAGAGCGGTAGCGAGCGTCGCTAGTGCGAAGGTGGCAAACCAGGTCCTCGACTGTGGCAAAGGCTGACAGCTCGGGAAACAGGTAGGGCAGTATAAGGCGGCCGAGAACAGCAGTGGCAGGGGAGGAGTAACGAGCGAGTACAGCGTCGTACAGGGCCTTAGCAGTCTTGTGCAGGCCAAAGTGAGCGCGTTCGGCTAACGGCAGGTGGTTGCGAACGGCTAAGCGAGCAGCAGCGTCACGGGTAAGCCACTGTGAGCGAGTCGCACTGTCAGCTGTGGCTGGAGGGGTGAGAGAGGCTCCAAACGTGTGGTCAAACAACGAAACGATGTCTCTAGAATCGCTCAGTAGGTACAACTGTAAGTCAACGAGCCACGCATCGAACTAGATCGGACGGCCCTCATGATCGAATGTGAGTACGCTGAGAGAAGCCATAGCGGGCAGAGCAGGGCGGCGCGCGATCAGCAGGGCAGCACGCAGGCAGGGCGGCGCGCGAGCACTAGGGAGGCGCGTAGAGCAGGGAGAGGCGGTGCACGGCTAGGGAAGAGTGGCGCGCAGCCAGGGCAGGGCAGGGCGGCGGCCTGTAGGGTGGCGCACAGCAGGGCGGGCAGCAGCAGGGCGGCGCGGGCAGCGGTGCGGCTGCCAGCAGGGCGGCGCGCGGGCAGCAGGGCGCCGGCCAGCAGGGCTGCGCACAGCAGGGGCGGGCAGCAGGAGGGCGGCGCGAGCAGCAGGGCGGTGCGCAGCAGGGCTGTGCGGGCAGCAGGGCGCCAGCCAGCAGGGCGGCGCACAGCAGGGCGTCGCGGGCAGGGCGGTGCGGGCAGCGGTGCTGCTGCCAGCAGGGCGGCGCGCGGGGAGCAGGGCGCCGGCCAGCAGCAGGGTGGCGCAAGAAGCAGGGCGGTGCGGGCAGCAGGGCGCCGGCCATCAGGGCGGCGCACAGCAGGGTGTCGCGGGCAGGGCGGTGCGGGCAGCGGTGCGGCTGCCAGCAAGGCGGCACGCGGGCAGCAGGGCGCCGGCCAGTAGGGCTGCGCGCAGCAGGGCGGGCAGCAGCAGGGCGGCGCGAGCAGCAGGGCGGTGCGGGCAGCAGGGCGGCTTAGCGCGGGCAGGGCAGGGCGACGCGCAGGCAGCATGCGGCTCGCGGGCAGCAGGGCGACGCGGCGGCCAGCAGGGCGACGCGACTGACAGGGCAGGGCGACGCGAAAGCAGGCAGGGCGACGCGACAGCAGGCAGGGCGACGCGATGGGCAGGGCAGGGCGAAGCGACAAGTGGGGCAGCGCTCTGTGGTGGGCCCAAAAAAAAATCGGTCCTAGAACAGGACCTACTCCGAAACCATGTCAGAATACTGAATGAGAATGAATGAACTAAGAATGAGTTTGGTACAATTACTAACCCTAATTCGGTTTACCCTTTATGGGCTACCCCACTACAGCCTACACAATGTAAGCACTATAATATTTTGACAATACCATGTCACATTTTGATAGCTAACTAGCAAACAAAACCTTGACCAGTAGGCTGGTAGCTAGCAAACAAAACCTTGACCAGTAGGCTGGTAGCTAGCAAAAAAAACCTTGACCAGTAGGCTGGTAGCTAGCAAACAAAGCCTTGACCAGTAGGCTGGTAGCTAGCAAACCAAGCCTTGACCAGTAGGCTGGTAGCTAGCAAACAAAGCCTTGACCAGTAGGCTGGTAGCTACTGCAATCCAAGCTGGGATGGAATGGTTCTAAGACAGCTTGGTACATATTCATGACTCGTGAGCTCACTTCCACCAGCATCACCAGGCGTTGCTAGCTAGCTAGCTAGCTAGCAATGAACACTTTAACTAAAGGTACTACTGCAATCCAAGCTGGGATGGTCATAAAAAGCCTGGTGGTGGTACATCTACTGTCGAAGCACTCTCATTCTCACATGAGCCTACTCCCTCCCACCACGCACTCACTCCAAGCATCTCAATAAACACCCGCCGACCTTACTTCCTCGGTTCCCTCCTGCCTGCCTGCTCTTCACTCATCACTTGCTGCCGCTATCGCTCACTCCAAGCATCTCCATAAACGCTCGCCCCCGCTTCTCCCTTTTCCGTTTCCGCCTCCCACCCTCATCCTCATCGTCACCACAACCAACACTACTCGCCCTGCCTCCCCCTCTTGGTAAGCTCTCCTCTTCCTCCTCCCCTACCCTCACACTCTCCCCTTCCCTCACCTCCAAACTCCCATCTCTCTCCCTCACTACCATTCCCAACCTCTCTGCAACCCCTTCTGTTCTTGTTTCAGCTGCACTGTTTGCAACTGCCTGTTTCTGAGCCTCCTCCCGTAGCCTCTTCTTTTCATCCCTTTTTCTCTTTCCCTCCCTCACTTTCTTGCCCTTCCTCTTTCGTGCCCCCTCCTCCCTCTCCTCCCCCTCCTGTTTTGTTCCTCCCTCTTCCTCCCTCTCCTCCCTCTCTCCCTCTCCCTCATCCCTTCCCTGCTTCTCTTTCCGCTCTTCCTTCCTCTCCTCCTCCTGATCTTTCTCCCCTTCCTCCTCCCTCTCCTCCATCTCTTCAGCTTGAATTTCTTCTACTAACACCTTCCGCTTCCTTCCCTTCCTCTCTTTCTTCTCTCCACCCAAACTCTCCACCCCTACATCCTCCCCACCGTCCATCCTCTCAACACCACCACTAACCTCTACATTCTCCCTTCTCTCCTTCTCTCCAGTCTCCTTCTCTCTCCTTTCCCTCTTGGCCCTTTTTCGCTTAATTTCACCCGAATCATCCGCCTCCCCTACCAATTCAACCTGCTTCAACCCACCATCCTTCCCTTCCTCACCCTTCTCGCCCCGCCTCCACTTCTTTTTCTTCTTCTCGCCCCGCCTCCCCTTCTTTTTCTTCTTCTCGCCTAAGCCAACCCCTTCTGTTGGCCCTTCCTGATATGCACCACAGGTGTTTGCTACAGCTGCTGCTGCCCCTGCTGCCTCTGCTGCCCCTGCTGCTAATCCTTCGGTTCCTGCTGCTGCTTCCGCTGCTGCTGCTGTTCCTTCTTTCCCACCTGCCGCAGTGGCTGAAGCAACACCCTTCTTCTTTCTTCCTTTCTTGGCCTTGACAGCGGGAGCAGCAGCACCAGGAGCCTCAACAACAGTGCCAGCGGTAGCAACAGCAGCACCATCACTGCTCATATCATGCTTTGGCACAAGTGGTGGTGGCACCATTCTAGGTGGGGGTGGTCTGTTGGCAATGGCTGACTCAAGGCGGATCAACCTAGCCAGCAAGCTGCCACCAGCATTTCCAGTAGAAGGAGCAGCGCCAGCAGCAGGAGCAGCGCCAGCATTGATTTGGGATTGAGAGCGATGGGAGGAGGGGAGTGTGGGCGTGGTGAGCAGGTAGTGAGCTCGCTGAAAGGCAAGGCGGACCTGAGGGGGAAGGGGGGGAGGAGAGGGGAGAGAGAGAGAGAGGGGACATTGCAGGTGGAGGCAGTCTACTCGCAATGGCAGATTCAAGGAAGATTAAACTAGCCAGCAGACTGCCTCTCACACTTCCAGCAGTAGCAGTAGCAGCACCAGCAGCAGGAGCACTTCCAGCATTGATTTGGGATGGAGAGCGATGGGAGGTAGGGAGTGTGGGCGTGGTGAGCAGGTAGTGAGCTCGCTGAAAGGCAAGGCGGACCTGAGGGAGAGAAGGTGGGGGAGGGGGAGGAAGGAGAAGGACGGGAGGAGGAAGAGAGAAAGGAAGAGTATTTTAAGGCACCTAGAAAATAGGGGAGTGGGGGTGGTGAGCAGGTAGTGAGCTCGCTGAAAGGCCAGGCGGACCTGTGGCTGCCCCTGCTCAGGTCGTTGAACGGCATCTGCGGATCCTCTACCGCCAGCACTGTGTTGCTCTATTATGCCCTTATCTTATCCTCTTCTTTCTCCTTCCCCTTCCCTTACATTGTGGATGTTGTGGCTCCCCCTGCTCAGATCGTTGGACAGCATCTGGGGATCCTCCACCGCCAGCCTCGTGATGTGATATTCGTACGCTGCTGAGCATCTGGGGGTGCTCTACCGCCAAGCCAGCATCATGCATGCTGCATCTGAGCATCATGCAGCATGCATGATGCATGAGCACCCCAGCATCATGATGCATGATGCATGAGCACCCCAGCATCTGGGGGTGCTGTACCGCCAAGCCAGCATCATGCAGCAGCTAAGATCTAGCCTGCTTCACTTCCCTTAGATTGTGAATGTTGTGGCTTCCCTGCCCCTGCTCAGGTCGTTGAACGGCATCTGGGGATTTTCCATCGTCAATCCAACATGAGGTGATGACGTATAAGCTAGCATGCAGCCTGCTTCCCTCACATTGTGGATGTTGTGGCTTCCCCTGCTCAGATCGTTTGACGGCATCTGGGGATCCCCCGATGCCAGTCAATGCCAGTCAATGCCAGTCAATGCCAGTCAATGCCCTTACATTGTGGATGTTGTGGCTGCCCCTGCTCAGGTCGTTGCTGGGCATCTGCGGATCCTCCACTGCCAGCATGAACCGATTCTGCTGCACCATGCTGGGGTTGGGAAAGAACAAGGAGGAATAAGCGATGAAGTGTAGGCATTGAGTAGCATTGACTGGCATTGAAACTGGCATTGACCGGCATTGACCAGCATCTGCGGATCCTCCACTGCCAGCATGAACCGATTCTGCTGCACCATGCTGGGGTTGGGAAAGAACAAGGAGGAATAAGCGATGAAGTGTAGGCATTGAGTAGCATTGACTGGCATTGAAACTGGCATTGACCGGCATTGACCAGCATCTGCGGATCCTCCACTGCCAGCATGAACCGATTCTGCTGCACCATGCTGGGGTTGGGAAAGAACAAGGAGGAATAAGCGATGAAGTGTAGGCATTGAGTAGCATTGACTGGCATTGAAACTGGCATTGACCAGCATTGACCAGCATCTGCGGATCCTCCACTGCCAGCATGAACCGATTCTGCTGCACCATGCTGGGGTTGGGAAAGAACAAGGAGGAATAAGCGATGAAGTGTAGGCATTGAGTAGCATTGACTGGCATTGAAACTGGCATTGACCGGCATTGACCAGCATCTGCGGATCCTCCACTGCCAGCATGAACCGATTCTGCTGCACCATGCTGGGGTTGGGAAAGAACAAGGAGGAATAAGCGATGAAGTGTAGGCATTGAGTAGCATTGACTGGCATTGAAACTGGCATTGACCGGCATTGACCAGCATCTGCGGATCCTCCACTGCCAGCATGAACCGATTCTGCTGCACCATGCTGGGGTTGGGAAAGAACAAGGAGGAATAAGCGATGAAGTGTAGGCATTGAGTAGCATTGACTGGCATTGAAACTGGCATTGACCGGCATTGACCAGCATCTGCGGATCCTCCACTGCCAGCATGAACCGATTCTGCTGCACCATGCTGGGGTTGGGAAAGAACAAGGAGGAATAAGCGATGAAGTGTAGGCATTGAGTAGCATTGACTGGCATTGAAACTGGCATTGACCGGCATTGACCAGCATCTGCGGATCCTCCACTGCCAGCATGAACCGATTCTGCTGCACCATGCTGGGGTTGGGAAAGAACAAGGAGGAATAAGCGATGAAGTGTAGGCATTGAGTAGCATTGACTGGCATTGAAACTGGCATTGACCGGCATTGACCAGCATCTGCGGATTCTCCACTGCCAGCATGAACCGATTCTGCTGCACCATGCTGGGGTTGGGAAAGAACAAGGAGGAATAAGCGATGAAGTGTAGGCATTGAGTAGCATTGACTGGCATTGAAACTGGCATTGACCGGCATTGACCAGCATCTGCGGATTCTCCACTGCCAGCATGAACCGATTCTGCTGCACCATGCTGGGGTTGGGAAAGAACAAGGAGGAATAAGCGATGAAGTGTAGGCATTGAGTAGCATTGACTGGCATTGAAACTGGCATTGACCGGCATTGACCAGCATCTGCGGATCCTCCACTGCCAGCATGAACCGATTCTGCTGCACCATGCTGGGGTTGGGAAAGAACAAGGAGGAATAAGCGATGAAGTGTAGGCATTGAGTAGCATTGACTGGCATTGAAACTGGCATTGACCGGCATTGACCAGCATCTGCGGATCCTCCACTGCCAGCATGAACCGATTCTGCTGCACCATGCTGGGGTTGGGAAAGAACAAGGAGGAATAAGCGATGAAGTGTAGGCATTGAGTAGCATTGACTGGCATTGAAACTGGCATTGACCGGCATTGACCAGCATCTGCGGATCCTCCACTGCCAGCATGAACCGATTCTGCTGCACCATGCTGGGATGGTGAAGAAAGGAAGGAACGAGTGCATTGACTGACATTGACCCGCATTGACTGGCATCTGAATATCTTCTACTGCCAGACTTGACTGGCATTGACTGGCATTGACTGGCATTGACTATCATTACTATCATTGACCAGCATTGACCGACACTGACTCCACACTGCTCACCCTCTATCCCTCTTGACGAAGAATCTCCCCCCATGCCGCGCCGACACTCCCACGTCTATTGTGTTCAGGCCACGACCGTACAGATGAAAAAAGTCAATCTGCAAAACGGAAAGGGGGGGGGGGGGGGTTGTGGGAGTTATGATGCCAAGGAGAAAATGTGTTGTTTGGTTTGAAGGGCTGACACCCCCACGTCTGCTGTGTTGAAGGAGGGGGCGGGGTTGTGGGAGTTGCACAGGAAGGAAGGTACAGGATTGCCTTGAAGGGTCCACACCCCCACGTCTGCTGTGTTGAGGCCACGGCCGTACAGATTGAAGAAGTCAATCTGGACAAGGGGAAAGAGGGTGAGGGCGAGATGAGGCAAGGGAGAAGCGGATTGTGAGAACAAGGCAGTAAGGGAGGTTAGGTCTGGCACCCCCACGTCTATATTCAAATCACTTTTGAGAATTCTCAAAAGTGATTTCAATAAAGTCTGACACCCCCACGTCTGTTATATAATTTCAACACTAGATTGTTCATAAGGTCGAGGCCAAAAAAAACTGTACGCAGTAAATTCACAACTGGTCGACTCGCAACTATATAATTTTAACACTAAATTCATCGCTCTTTATAAAGAAATACAACTGGTCGACTCGCAGTTTCGAGTCAACTCAACACACAACTGTACTGTATATGCAGTGAAGTCACCCCTCCTTAATAAGACAGTCACTAGTAAGACCCCCCACTGCACTCACCAGCAGTACGCCCAGGTTCTGCTCTAGCTTTCCACTTGAAAAGCAGCTGTGGTGGGTCTGCACAGAACAAGAGGTGGAGGGAAGAGGCGAGGCACGGAAGGAAAAGAGGGGAGGTTCATTGTACATTGCACCGTACACCAGTATCGTATTAACACTCCAGTCCAAAGGCTAAGCCTCCAACCCAGAGCACGGACCCTCAGTCTGAAAATGCATCATGAGCATGACCAGCAGAGCGTGCGAGCCCATCCCTCTCATGTTCATCCCTCTCATGTTCATCCCTCTCATGTTCATCCCTCTCATGTGCATCCCTCTCATATTCATCCCTCTCATGTGCACAGCGTGAGAGGGATGTGCTCATGTGCACAGCGTGAGAGGGATGGGCTCATGTGCACAGCGTGAGAGGGATGGGCTCATGTGCACACATTGTTCAGGCCCATGGCCCATTGCACTGTTACTACAATGTTATGTATGCCCAAGGCCCCCTTGCTGAGCTTAGCCCCCTGAAGTGCACTGCATGCCTATCGTGGTCATTACAGGTTGTAACATTACAGGTTGTAACATTACAGGTGGTGTGCCTATAGGTGCGGTGCGCCATGATCATGACCAGCAGGGCGTACGAACCGATGGCTCCTGTGAACACCTCGTGGAGTTGAGGCCCCTCTCTGCTGCGGTGGGCTGCACATGCTCTGAAGCATCACCACACGAGGCTGTCTACCTTACCTGTAAATGCGTCATAATGATGACCAGCAGGGCATAGGAGCCAATCCCTCCTGTGAACACCTCCTTGAACCCTTTACCACGTACCTGCAGGTGCGCCATGATCATGACTAGCAGGGCGTACGAGCCGATGCCCCCTGTGAACACCTCCTTGAGTTGAGGCCCCTCTGCTGCGGTGGGCTGCATGCCCACGCTATGCACCTTGTCAAACCCCAAAGACACACCTGTAAGTGCGCCATGATCATGACCAGCAGGGCATAGGAGCCGATGCCCCCTGTGAACACCTCGTTGAGTTGAGGCCCCTCTGCTGCAGGAAGGGCTTCAGCACCAGAGAGATGGGGCGCAGCGTGCCGTACTGCACTGCACCGCACAGGACAGCTCGAAACCCCAAAGAACCCACCTGTAAGTGTGCCATAATCATGACTAGAAGCGCGTACGAGCCGATGCCCCCTGTGAACACCTCGACCTCGTTAAGGCCCCTCTGCTGCAGGAAGAGCTTCAACACCAAGGAGATGGGGCGCTGCACTGTTTTCTTTCTGGCTGCACTGCACAGTACAGCTTGCAACCCCCTACCACACCTGAAGATGCGCCATGATCATGACTAGAAGGGCGTACGAGCCGATGCCTCCCGTAAACACCTCGTTGAGGCCCCTCTGCTGCAGGAATAGCTTGAGCACCAGAGAGATTGGCCGCAGAGCTGGCATTGCCTTCATTGATTTCTGGTTGACAGGGGGACAAGAGAAGTGGGAACGGAGAGGATGAGAGAAAAGGAATGCAGCACAAGGCTTCAGTTGCCTCCAATAAAACCTCTGCTGCCGAACGAGGTTGAGCACAAGGGATATGGGGCCCAGGGCTGGCATGGCTTTCATTGATTTCTGAGAGAGGGAAGGAGGAACGAGGAGAGGAAGTGCGGGAAAAGAATTGTGACGTACCAACCCTCTCTGCTGCAAGAATGTCCCTTCGCCTAAAAAAATCCCCCTATTTTAAAAGTGACTAAAAAATGCGAAAAAAACACAAAGGCTTTACACACACACCAACCCTCTGCTGCCCCTTTTCCCTTCCCTTTTCCCTCCTTCCCCTCCTTTCTCACTTGACCCATGCCCTTATTTTCAGAGAAGAGCAAATTGCAAGGGCACCAAGAAGAAGCGATTACAAGGGGACTTTTGAGACGTCTCAAAAAGCGATTGCAAGGGGAACTTACCCGGATGAACTTGGCAGTCTCTGGTCCGTTGGACGTATCGAAACTGCCAAGAGAATTCAGATAAAGAGAGGGAGGAAAGAGAGGGGGAAGAGGGCCGGGCATTCAGACAAAGAGGAGGAAAGGGATGGATGCACACACAGGCACGGATGCACACACAGGCACGGATGCACACACAGGCACGGATGCACACACAGGCACGGATGCACACTCATTCATTCACTCACTCCCTCACTCTCCACTCTCTCTCACCTGATATCAAACGACACCCCACTGGCGATCTCCAGGAACTTGATGATGGGCACACCTGCACTTGCATGCACACACATACAGACTCACTCACTCACTCACTCACTCAGTCACTCGCTCACTCCCTCACTCCCTCTCACTCACCTGATGTCAAACGACACTCCACTAGCAATTTCCAGGAACTTGATGATGGGCACACGTGCACTCATGCGCACGCATACATACACACATGTACTCACTCACGCACTACATCTCTCCCACCTGATATCAAACGACACTCCTTTTGAGGCGCCTCAAAACACGCACTACATCTCTCCCACCTGATATCAAACGACACTCCTTTTGAGGCGCCTCAAAACACGCACTACCTCTCTCCCACCTGATATCAAACGACACCCCACTCTCAATCTCCAGGAACTTGATGATGGGCGCACGTGCACTCATGCGCACGCATACATACACACATGTACTCACTCACGCACTACCTCTCTCCCACCTGATATCAAACGACACCCCACTCTCAATCTCCAGGAACTTGATGATGGGCACACGTGCACTCATGCGCACGCATACATACACACATGTACTCACTCACGCACTACCTCTCTCCCACCTGATATCAAACGACACCCCACTCTCAATCTCCAGGAACTTGATGATGGGCGCACGTGCACTCATGCGCACGCATACATACACACATGTACTCACTCACGCACTACCTCTCTCCCACCTGATATCAAACGACACCCCACTCTCAATCTCCAGGAACTTGATGATGGGCGCACGTGCACTCATGCGCACGCATACATACACACATGTACTCACTCACGCACTACCTCTCTCCCACCTGATATCAAACGACACCCCACTCTCAATCTCCAGGAACTTGATGATGGGCACACGTGCTTGGCCAATGACCTGCAGGGGAGGAAAAAGTCGGACAGGGAGAGGGGAGGAGTGAGGAAAAGGTATGTTTGATGACCTGCAGGCAAACTTAATGATCGCTTGCCCGATGACCTGCAGGGGCGGACAGATGTGCAGAGAGGGAATGGATGAGAGGAGTGAGAGGAGTGAGAGGAGGAAATCAATGGTCGCCACATGCACGAGGTGAGGAGCAGAAGAATGAGAAATGAATTTTAAGCAATAACACGCACGCCTGAAAGAGGAATGAAACATGGCGTTTGCCCAAAGACCTGCTGGGTAGGAGAGTGTTGGACAGGGAGTTGGACAGGGAGTTGCGGAAGTGTTGAGCTCCTTTCGAATATTTTCTCAAAATGTTGAGTCATCTCAGGACATGGGGGGAGTGAGAGAGAGAGGAGAAACTTCATCAGTGGCGCGCGCGCGCGCACACACACACACACACACACACACACACACACACACACACACACACACACACACACACACACACACACACACTCACACACACACACACACACACACACACACACACACACACGCCTGAAACAGGAATTAAACATAAATGTGAGAGGACTATCGCTGTCCACTCATCTGCACTGCATCTACAACCAGCGCCTTTGCCAGTACCAACACGTACCTTCATGTTCTGTGCTACTCTCCTCCCCACCAGCGCCTTTGCCAGTGCTCTCAGCGCCCTCTGCACTTGTGGTGAGGAACAAGGGAGGCGCATTCATTTCCCCTCCACGTGCGTACCTTCATGTTGCGAGCCACCCTCCTCCCCACCAGCGCCTTCGCCAGTGCTCTCAGTGCCCTCTGCACGTCCGGACAGCCCGAGTGCAGCACTACCATCTGATGGGAAGGGGGTGAAGGGGTGGGGGATAGCAGCAGATGGGGAGAGGCTCATGGTGGGTGGGTGGGTGCAGGTCAAGGGATCCCACCAGTGCTTTTGCCAGAACCCTGAGCGCCCTCTGCACGTCCGGACAGCCGGAATGAAGCACAACCATCTGAGGGAACGGGCGAAGGGGTGTGGGATAGCAGCAGATGGGGGAAAGGCTTGGGGTGGGTGCAGGTCAAGGGGATCCCTTCAGTCCCACCAGCGCCTTCGCCAGTGCCCTCAGCGCCCTCTGCACGTCCGGACAGCCGGAGTGAAGCACAACCATCTGAAAGAGAGAAGGAAGAGAAGGGGTGATGGGGGGAAGAAGGGCAGAAGCCGAGTGGGTTTGAAGGACAGGTACAAACATTGCCAGCGCCCTCAGCGCCCTCTGCACGTCTGGGCAGCCCGAGTGCAGCACAACCATCTGAGGGAGGGGAGAGGCACAAGGAAATGAGTACTTGAGTTTGCTTGCATGCGTGCAGGTTTCATTCAAGCAACATGCACTCAGGGAAATGCTTGGATCCACGTCACTGGTGGGGAGGTAAACCCCCATGGCAGGCGTACAACCCAAACACCTCCCCATGTGGTAGCGCAATAGCTATGGGCCGGCATGACTAGCTTGCTTGCTGGTACCAGGGTGACACTCAGGGTGACACTCAGAGTGACACTCAGGGTGACACTCTAGGTGACACTCAGGGTGACACTCAGGGTGACACTCACATCCACATCGCTGGTGGGGAGGTACATCCCCGTGGCGTACGAACCAAACACCTCCACATGGCTGGCAGTAAGGCTTCACGAGGATATGGTTATGGGGTGTGAGTTTGTACTCACGTCGACGTCACTCGTGGGCAAGTACACCCCCGTGGCGTACGAACCAAACACCTCCACGTGGCAGTGCGCCCAGATGCTGTGAATGACAGCTGTCACCCGCCCCACCGCCTCTGCCCGCGCCTGCTTCTCCTGCTCTGACGCCTCCACAAAGCGGCAGAACTCCGCAATCTCTGGGGTTCAGAGAGGGGAAGATGAACGGGAATACAGAGAGGGTTTTACAAGTGTGCCCCACCGCCTCCGCCGGCGCCTGCTCCTCCTGCTCTGATGACGCCTCCACGAACCGGCAAAACTCTACTATTTCTGAAAAATCCCTAAATCCTGCATTGATGCTTCAACAAAACGACAGAACCCATGATGTATGAGGGCAGGGTGACGGGACAAGGGCAGGGTGACGGGAGCACGGTTGCTGTAAGTGTTTTTTGAGAATATAAAAAAGCATATGTGGAACAAGGCAGGGTGACGGGAGCACGGTGGCTGTAAGTGTGTACGGTTGTCAGGAGGGAATATCAGCGCTTGCTTTGGTGCAGGCGCAGGAAGGGGTTTAGCGGACGGCCCTCCGGATGGCCCACGCTGTGTAGGTAAGGCCGAGGGTTCAGGGTTTATGACTGGGAAAAGGGGGCATAGCGGGATTGGTGCAGGCGGAGGAAGGGGCTGCGCGGATGCCCCTCCAAGTGGCCCACGCTGTGCTGGTTGGTACGGCCGCGAGCTCAAGGTTTTGACGGGATTCAGGGTTTATGACTGGAAGAAGGGGACCAGGATTCCAGGGCTTACCTTGGTGCAGGCGGAGGAAGGGGCTGCGCGGATGGCCCTCCGGATGCCCCACGCTCCACGGGGCTGCAGGGTCCGCCGCTGGCGCAGGCCTTCCGCTCCGCGTTTCCGCCACTGGTGCTTCAAGCTCCGCCACTGGCGCTTCAGGCTCCGCCACTGGCGCAACACGCGCAAGCTTTCCGCTTCTTGCTTCCCCCGCTTCTCCCGCTTTTGCGGCCGCTTCCCTGTCCGCTCCCTCCTGCGCTTTCCTTTTCCTCTTATCCTCAGCCACTTCCTTATCCTGCGATACGCCGTCGTCTGCTGACGCAGCTCCCTGGTCCCCGCACGAAGCCTGTCCGCCGTCCGATCCAGCTTCATCCTCTACTTTTTCCGACTGATTTATATCGAGTTTTTTTGTACCGAGATTCGTATTTTTTGCAATAGGTGTGGTTACCACATCTACTATATCGACGAGGCGAATTACAAGTTCGTCCTCCGCGTCCCCGTCGCTGTCGCCATCCTCGTCGTTTTCGTCATCTATATCCGCAGCGCGTGCGCTGATATCGGGTACAGAAGGATGCGTGGCGGACGGCGATCCTGCCGACGAATATCTCGCGTCCAGCTCAGCAACTAACGCGGCAATCGCGCGACTAGTATCGGCAGGCAGGGAGGCACTCTTACCGGGCGTCGACGATAACAAATCAGCCAATAACGGATCACTCACTAACGGATCACTTACTAGCGGATCACTCACTAACGGATCACTCACGAACGGGTCGCTCAATGCACTCGTTCCGATAACGGTACGAAGCGTTCGATAGAGGAAACCCGAGTCTTCCGGGGTCACCATGGCAATGCACGTCGCCCACACGCGAGTTAACGAGCTAGTGTAAGTCACGCTGCTATTCCGGTAATTAGAAGCTGGAATCCAGTATTGCAAGCAATGTGGGGTTTCCCGCTAGCAGAAGCAGCCGAATTGTGTCTCCGGCTGCTCTCGCTCCAAAAGCTGAAGCAAGCAGGGGACGCAGAATTGAGGCAACCTTGCAAACCGAGAGTACGCGTTGAGAAGGGCCTCGGCGCAGACTCGTCGCGCTGTATCAACTGGTTATGATGCATTACATTCACTTCCCATGCTTATTCCATTTCACAGCACTAGCATGTCACCCATTTTTTATGAATTTACATAAGCTCCAAGTACAGGCCAATCCCTCATTCATCTGAATCTCTCAATCGCATCCTAGAACTGGGCGTAACACGTCCTTGAAGCTCTTATCGAAATTCTCCTCAGAGAATCGCTTGGCCCGCTCCCTGCCAGCTGTCGCCATCCGCTCCCTCTCCTCCGATGACATGGCGAAAACCGCCCGCATGGCGGCAGCGTATTCATCCTCGGTCGTCGCCAAATACCCTACAGGACAGCCTGATGAGTCAGATTCTAGCTGGCCCTTCTGGATGAATGGCTCTGATTGCTTCCCTGATATCAACTCCTCACTTCCCTCCTCCTCTCCCCCCTTCTCTTGCCCTTCTTCTTTTCTCCCCAGACCAGCATGGCAGGCAGGCACTACAATGTCCATTTTCGGGCCGGCAGAGTTGTGTGCTGAAGGAAAGAGCAGAGCAGAGCAGAGCAGAGCAAAGCAGAGAAAAGAAACGCAAGGGAGAAGGGAAGACGGTGAGTGGTAAGATTGGCCTTCCTCGTCCTCCTCAACTCCCTCCCCTCCTCCCTAATCCCGGCCTTCTTTTCTGTAACCACGTGTAGCGAGGTTGTAACGGCCTTCTTTTCTGTAACCAACATAACAGGCAGGCACTACAATGCCCATTTTTCCGCCAGAAGAGCTGTCAACCATCATGGCGTGCTGAACGAGCAGAGCAAACCAAGGAGCAGTCAACGGGAACACACAGGAGAAGGAAAGGGGGCATCTGTGTGGGTGAGATAAATCTTCCTGCTCTTGGGGGGGGTCTCCTGCTGTGCACTGCAAACACACCCATTGAAGATCCTATGACCAAGGAAAAACCCACTGACGGGGACAGCCCCTGCTGCCATGCACTCCACCATGCTCATGCCAAAGTGCTCATCCTACATGGTGTGGTGTGGCACCAGTAGCATCAGTCGTAGCCAGTACCTCACGTCACATTACATGCACGCACCTATGGGGATCGCCCCTGCTGCCATGCACTCCACCACGCTCATGCCAAAGTGCCCTTCTCGTCCCACATGGTGTGTATGCCACATGTATTACCTTCCCAGGCGCCAGGCACAAACCTCTTGTGTACAACCCACCTACTCACCTATGGGGCACAGCCCCTGCTGCCATGTATTCCAACACGCTCATGCCAAAGTGCTCGTCCCACCCACATGGTGTGGTGTGTACCCCACAGTTGGCACCTACCCTAACCTGTGACCAGGCATCATGCACAACGTGTGCATGATCAACCCACCTATAGGAACAGCCCCTGCTGCCACGTATTCAACCACGCTGATACCAAAGTGCTCGTCCCACATGGTGTGTATGCCGCAGGTGGCTCCGCCTAATAGTTGCTGCAGCTCCCTGCCACAACGAGGACATGGGTGCAATGCGGTACAGTGCGGTAACAGGGATAGGAACAATGAATGAAGACCAAGGCACATGGTGTGTACCCCACAAGCGGCACCTCCTAGTAGCTGCTGCAGCTCTCTGCCATGCAATCAGGAACAGGGAACACACATGGGTGCAATGCGGCAGAGTGTGATAATAACAGGGAACACACATGGGTGCAATGCGGCAGAGTGTGATGATAACAGGGAACACACATGGGTGCAATGCGGCAGAGTGTGATGATAACAGGGAACACACATGGGTGCAATGCGGCAGAGTGTGATGATAACAGGGAACACACATGGGTGCAATGCGGTAGAGTGTGATGATAACAGGGAACACACATGGGTGCAATGCGGTAGAGTGTGATGATAACAGGGAACACACATGGGGCAATGCGGCAGAGTGTGATGATAACAGGGAACACACATGGGTGCAATGCGGAAGAGTGTGATGATAACAGGGAACACACATGGGTGCAATGCGGCAGAGTGTGATGATAACAGGGAACACACATGGGTGCAATGCGGAAGAGTGTGATGATAACAGGGAACACACATGGGTGCAATGCGGTAGAGTGTGATGATAACAGGGAACACACATGGGTGCAATGCGGCAGAGTGTGATGATAACAGGGAACACACATGGGTGCAATGCGGCAGAGTGTGATGATAACAGGGAACACACATGGGTGCAATGCGGCAGAGTGTGATGATAACAGGGAACACACATGGGTGCAATGCGGCAGAGTGTGATGATAACAGGGAACACACATGGGTGCAATGCGGCAGAGTGTGATGATAACAGGGAACACACATGGGTGCAATGCGGCAGAGTGTGATGATAACAGGGAACACACATGGGTGCAATGCGGCAGAGTGTGATGATAACAGGGAACACACATGGGTGCAATGCGGCAGAGTGTGATGATAACAGGGAACACACATGGGTGCAATGCGGCAGAGTGTGATGATAACAGGGAACACACATGGGTGCAATGCGGCAGAGTGTGATGATAACAGGGAACACACATGGGTGCAATGCGGAAGAGTGTGATGATAACAGGGAACACACATGGGTGCAATGCGGCAGAGTGTGATGATAACAGGGAACACACATGGGTGCAATGCGGCAGAGTGTGATGATAACAGGGAACACACATGGGTGCAATGCGGCAGAGTGTGATGATAACAGGGAACACACATGGGTGCAATGCGGCAGAGTGTGATGATAACAGGGAACACACATGGGTGCAATGCGGCAGAGTGTGATGATAACAGGGAACACACATGGGTGCAATGCGGCAGAGTGTGATGATAACAGGGAACACACATGGGTGCAATGCGGCAGAGTGTGATGATAATAGGGAACACACATCGGTGCAATGCGGCAGAGTGTGATGATAACAGGGAACACACATGGGGCAATGCGGCAGAGTGTGATGATAACAGGGAACACACATGGGTGCAATGCGGCAGAGTGTGATGATAACAGGGAACACACATGGGTGCAATGCGGCAGAGTGTGATGATAACAGGGAACACACATGGGTGCAATGCGGCAGAGTGTGATGATAACAGGGAACACACATGGGTGCAATGCGGCAGAGTGTGATGATAACAGGGAACACACATGGGTGCAATGCGGCAGAGTGTGATGATAACAGGGAACACACATGGGTGCAATGCGGCAGAGTGTGATGATAACAGGGAACACACAGGGGTGCAATGCGGCAGAGTGTGATGAGAACAGGGAACACACACGGGTGCAATGCGGCAGAGTGTGATGATAACAGGGAACACACATGGGTGCAATGCGGCAGAGTGTGATGATAACAGGGAACACACATGGGTGCAATGCGGCAGAGTGTGATGATAACAGGGAACACACATGGGTGCAATGCGGCAGAGTGTGATCATAACAGGGAACACACATGGGTGCAATGCGGCAGAGTGTGATGATAACAGGGAACACACATGGGTGCAATGCGGTAGAGTGTGATGATAACAGGGAACACACATGGGGCAATGCGGCAGAGTGTGATGATAACAGGGAACACACATGGGTGCAATGCGGCAGAGTGTGATGATAACAGGGAACACACATGGGTGCAATGCGGAAGAGTGTGATGATAACAGGGAACACACATGGGTGCAATGCGGCAGAGTGTGATGATAACAGGGAACACACATGGGTGCAATGCGGAAGAGTGTGATGATAACAGGGAACACACATGGGTGCAATGCGGCAGAGTGTGATGATAACAGGGAACACACATGGGTGCAATGCGGCAGAGTGTGATGATAACAGGGAACACACATGGGTGCAATGCGGTAGAGTGTGATGATAACAGGGAACACACATGGGGCAATGCGGCAGAGTGTGATGATAACAGGGAACACACATGGGTGCAATGCGGCAGAGTGTGATGATAACAGGGAACACACATGGGTGCAATGCGGCAGAGTGTGATGATAACAGGGAACACACATGGGTGCAATGCGGCAGAGTGTGATGATAACAGGGAACACACATGGGTGCAATGCGGCAGAGTGTGATGATAACAGGGAACACACATGGGTGCAATGCGGCAGAGTGTGATGAGAACAGGGAACACACACGGGTGCAATGCGGCAGAGTGTGATGATAACAGGGAACACACATGGGTGCAATGCGGCAGAGTGTGATGATAACAGGGAACACACATGGGTGCAATGCGGCAGAGTGTGATGATAACAGGGAACACACATGGGTGCAATGCGGCAGAGTGTGATGATAACAGGGAACACACATGGGTGCAATGCGGCAGAGTGTGATAATAACAGGGAACACACATGGGTGCAATGCGGCAGAGTGTGATGATAACAGGGAACACACATGGGTGCAATGCGGCAGAGTGTGATGATAACAGGGAACACACATGGGTGCAATGCGGCAGAGTGTGATGAGAACAGGGAACACACACGGGTGCAATGCGGCAGAGTGTGATGATAACAGGGAACACACACGGGTGCAATGCGGCAGAGTGTGATGATAACAGGGAACACACATGGGTGCAATGCGGCAGAGTGTGATGATAACAGGGAACACACATGGGTGCAATGCGGCAGAGTGTGATGATAACAGGGAACACACATGGGTGCAATGCGGCAGAGTGTGATGATAACAGGGAACACACATGGGTGCAATGCGGCAGAGTGTGATGATAACAGGGAACACACATGGGTGCAATGCGGCAGAGTGTGATGATAACAGGGAACACACATGGGTGCAATGCGGCAGAGTGTGATGATAACAGGGAACACACATGGGTGCAATGCGGAAGAGTGTGATGATAACAGGGAACACACATGGGTGCAATGCGGCAGAGTGTGATGATAACAGGGAACACACATGGGTGCAATGCGGCAGAGTGTGATGATAACAGGGAACACACATGGGTGCAATGCGGCAGAGTGTGATGATAACAGGGAACACACATGGGTGCAATGCGGCAGAGTGTGATGATAACAGGGAACACACATGGGTGCAATGCGGCAGAGTGTGATGATAACAGGGAACACACATGGGTGCAATGCGGCAGAGTGTGATGATAACAAGGAACACACATGGGTGCAATGCGGCAGAGTGTGATGATAACAGGGAACACACATGGGTGCAATGCGGAAGAGTGTGATGATAACAGGGAACACACATGGGTGCAATGCGGCAGAGTGTGATGATAACAGGGAACACACATGGGTGCAATGCGGAAGAGTGTGATGATAACAGGGAACACACATGGGTGCAATGCGGCAGAGTGTGATGATAACAGGGAACACACATGGGTGCAATGCGGCAGAGTGTGATGATAACAGGGAACACACATGGGTGCAATGCGGCAGAGTGTGATGATAACAGGGAACACACATGGGTGCAATGCGGCAGAGTGTGATGATAACAGGGAACACACATGGGTGCAATGCGGCAGAGTGTGATGATAACAGGGAACACACATGGGTGCAATGCGGCAGAGTGTGATGATAACAGGGAACACACATGGGTGCAATGCGGCAGAGTGTGATGATAACAGGGAACACACATGGGGCAATGCGGCAGAGTGTGATGATAACAGGGAACACACATGGGTGCAATGCGGCAGAGTGTGATGATAACAGGGAACACACATGGGTGCAATGCGGCAGAGTGTGATGATAACAGGGAACACACATGGGGCAATGCGGCAGAGTGTGATGATAACAGGAAACACACATGGGTGCAATGCGGCAGAGTGTGATGATAACAGGGAACACACATGGGTGCAATGCGGCAGAGTGTGATGATAACAGGGAACACACATGGGTGCAATGCGGCAGAGTGTGATGATAACAGGGAACACACATGGGTGCAATGCGGCAGAGTGTGATGATAACAGGGAACACACATGGGTGCAATGCGGCAGAGTGTGATGATAACAGGGAACACACATGGGTGCAATGCGGCAGAGTGTGATGATAACAGGGAACACACATGGGTGCAATGCGGCAGAGTGTGATGATAACAGGGAACACACATGGGTGCAATGCGGCAGAGTGTGATGATAACAGGGAACACACATGGGTGCAATGCGGCAGAGTGTGATGATAACAGGGAACACACATGGGTGCAATGCGGCAGAGTGTGATGATAACAAGGAACACACATGGGTGCAATGCGGCAGAGTGTGATGATAACAGGGAACACACATGGGTGCAATGCGGAAGAGTGTGATGATAACAGGGAACACACATGGGTGCAATGCGGCAGAGTGTGATGATAACAGGGAACACACATGGGTGCAATGCGGAAGAGTGTGATGATAACAGGGAACACACATGGGTGCAATGCGGCAGAGTGTGATGATAACAGGGAACACACATGGGTGCAATGCGGCAGAGTGTGATGATAACAGGGAACACACATGGGTGCAATGCGGCAGAGTGTGATGATAACAG